AATAATATAAGAATTATCTCCAAAGCATCTTTCTATGTAAAAATGTTGATTAGTCATTGAGAAGACATTCAAAATAGTAATCTAAAATATTTCTGAATTGATTATCTATTATCATCATAAAGTGTTGAATATACACTGTATTTTAGTTAATTAGAAGAATTTTTTTAACGCTTGAATTATTTAATTATGATAATCAGATTATAACATAAGTAGATCATTTGTTATTATCTGATGATACAGAGTGAATGATATAACTAAAATATTTAATTTGATTTGTAGCATGAATAGTATATGTTTATCAATCGATGAATATAGTAGATTCTATGATGTCATACCATTTTAGTCTTTTCTTTAACTTAGAAAATCTTAAGTTATTAAAAATATCATGAAACAGAAGTTAGTACCTTCCATTTGATATAGTAAATTGTGATAAAAATATTAAGTTGATTTTTCTAAGATAGCTAAACATTTTTCTATATGTATATGGGTTAATCAAATCTAAAATAGGTTGTAAATCTCCTTTCATAATAATAGAAATAGAAAGTATAGAAATAGTTAGCTGTAAAATGAGAAAAACAGAAGCTATTCGTAAATTTGAAGATAAGAGGCTCAAATTCCTGCTATTCTTTCAAGTAATTCAGAATTATTAATAATTTTTGGATGTTTAAAATTTTGGACTGTAGCTATTACTAGTCAAAATCATTTCTTTTGACACTAATATCATTCGGTTAACATTCAGCTGATTTAGTTATGTGATTCAGCTTAAGTTACAAAAATCAATAGTCATTTATTACACCACACATAATTTAGCATTATTTTAGCATTAAGACCTTTCGGTTATAATATTCTGCAAAATTTCAGTTAGACTCAAGATTTGGCAACAAATCAACTGTATATTACTAGTTAACATCTGTTGAGCTGATTTTTGCGAAATTATAAAAACATTCTGAGAGTAATCATCTCAAAAAGACGATAAAAATTGTTCCTAAAGGAATGAACAATTATTTCCAAAGAGATAATAGAAATCGTCTCTAAAGGAATGAACAATCATTCCCAAAGATATGATAGAATTCATTTCCAAAGGAATGATAGAAATCATCCCTAAAGGAACAAACAATCATTCCTAAAGAGACAATAAAAATCATCTCTAAAGGAGTAAACAATCATTCCTAAAGAAACGATAGAAATTACCTCAAAAGAAATGATAGAATCATATCTATTGTTCCAAAAGGAACAATTCAATTATTATTCTTAAAGAACAATTTTTTTATCATTTTCAAAGAACAATACATTATCATTTCAAAAGAATATTTTTTTTTATCATTCCTTTAGAATGATTTTATAATTATTCGTAAAGAATGATCAAACTATTGTTGATTTTGCAATCAAATAATGCAAAATTATCTGTTTGAAACATTTATGATAAATAGTATAAATAATATCTAAATTTCAGATTAGTTAAAATTTTTAGTTTAGTTTACAGTATAAAACTGATAAAACTTTCAGAATATTCTAAAAAAATTTATTTCTTTCTTTTTATTTTCTAATGAGGTGATTTTTGGATGGAAATTTAACCTTTTCCTTTCTTTTTTCTTGTTTTTTTTAGGAAATTCTTATTTTGAAATTAAGATAAGCAAATCAAAAGTGACTTTTATTGTATTTTCCTTTCTTTTTTCTTATTTTTTTTTTAGGAAATTCTTATTTTGAAAATTAAGATAAGCAAATTGAAAGTAATTTTTAAATGGTTTTTAACCCTTTTTCTTTGTTTTTCTTTAATTTTTTTAGAAAATTTTTTTAGAAAATCTAAGATAAACCTTTCAAAGAATACTTTTAGATGGTTTTTAACCTTATTTCTTTATTTTTTCTTTACTTTCATTAGGAATACATTAAGGTAAGCCTTTCAAAAGTAGTATTTTAGTGGTTTTCTAACAGTTTTTTTTATTTTTCTTTACTTTTTTAGGAATACATTAAGATAAACCTTTTAAAAGTAGTATTTTAGTGGTTTTTTAACTGTTTTCTTTATTTTTTCTTACTTTTTTAGAAATACATTAAGGTAAACAAACCTTTCAAAGGTGAGCAACTGTAGTTTTTTTTTTATTAATCAAATTATGACGAAATATAAAACCATCAACCCATTTTTGTGAAAACTTTGCTTCATTTATATTTGGATATATTGCTTGATATGTTGCTTTTTAGCAAAAGAGTGTGAATCATATAATGAGTAACTATTTTTAATTGACTTTAAAATTCTTTAAACTAATTCATGAGTTCAATTTTAAGTTCAGATATTTTGGACGTAAACCTGGAGTAAGTTTTTGAATATAAGGAGCTACTCTTATTAGTTGTTATTTATTATTTAGCCACTTATAAAGTTGCACGTTTGCTATGACTTCATTCATAATATGTAATTATTATTAACTTCTTTTTTGCTAATCACCAACACCTCATTTTTTTTGTAATTTTAACACGACGAACTCAAATATTACCACGAACTATGTTTCTAAAATGAAATACTTATAATTTTTTTAGTATAATATAAATTTATAAAATTTATAAAATTAGTTATTTAGAAAATATTTCAGAGAAATATAATGAAAAAATAACAAATGCGAACAAATTCATACATACTGTATCATTTTAAATTAATAAAGCAAATTGAAGCCTTTTCTAGCTTTATGTTGCTAAATTAATCAAATAAATGTGTTGTAATAAAAAGAATGCTTCTTACAATCATTGAATATAAATGAACTTATTGCAATTTTTGAACATGTTAAAAGATTCTAATATATTTTACTGAACATGTTAAAGCAATTTTCCAAACATATTATATGTTAAAGCAATTTTTTGAACATATATTTCAAGATTGCTGTATGTTACTAAATTAGGATAATGAACTGTACAATATACCCTGTAATATAATACCCTCCTTATAATATCCTACTAGTTAAAATATCCAGTATCTCCCAAAGTATACGCGGGTATTATATAATTTTTAAATTGGGTATTTTATATAAGACTCAGGATATTTTGGGCAGTTCTATATAATATCATGTTCAGAATCAGAGCTAGATGAGGAAAAGGAGCTATAATAGGAGAGAACGACGTTTTCTTCTCTTTTTATCTGACTTTTTTGATTCAGAGCTTCTATTTTTAGCAGCATTTTACGATTTCTTTAACTTAGGTGGAGGAGAATGAAACTGATTAGTACCCTTACCCTTTTTACTAGGTGTTAGACCCTTGCTTCCTGATTTGAAGGGAATTGGTTTTGACTGTCCTGACTCAGGAGGAAGTAGGTCTGATTGTCCTGTTCCAGAAGGAAGTGGATCCGTTTGCTCTTCAGGAATTCTATAAGCATTAAAATCTGTTAAGAGATTAATAGTCCTGTTATTACTAGGGATGACATTAGTTACAATAGTGTCATCTGGTCAATAATCATTGTAAGTAGAATTTCCGTCATCATTTACATCATCATCGTCATATACAGATTCAATTCAAGGGTCCTTACTAATAGTTACAGTTTTTGATGGCCTAGTCATATTAGGTTGATTTGGAGGTTGAATTATTATGGATAGGTTAATATACTTAGATAAGTCTGCGTGTAAAGGTAAAGAAAAGGCAGAAGTTTTATTGTGTATTTGAATAACTAATTAGAAGGCTTGGTCAAGAGTATAAAACAGTGTTTATTATAGACGAAAGTCTGATTCATTTATAGAAATGATTTTTTTGTATAAGGGTAGTGGATGTTTGAGCTAACTGAAAGTTTTCAACAGTTCTTTCAGTGTATTATCATACGTCTAAGGTTGTTTATCTAAACTCATTTTGGATTTGGCAAAACGGTTAAACCTTTAGTTTCGCTAAATTTTTACTAAGTGTTTGATATAGTTTCGCCATTTTTATAAGCTTTGATATAGTTTTACCTTTTCCAAATTTCGCAGATTTTTTAATAAGGTTTTAATATAATTTAACCAAGTTTTACTTTTACCATTTAGACATCTGTCTAAACTCTTGATTTCGTCCAGCAACCTTACATGCGTTTAAAATAAATTTAGTCCACTCAAAAAAAAACCAAAAAGATGTTGATAAAGTTGATGGTAATGGTGCTGGATGACAAATAATACATGAAGAATCTGGTGAAAGGGTTATATGCATAATCTTACATTCTTTCCTAAGATATTGTTAGTGATGTAATACCTGGTGTTTAAATATACTTCCAAATAAATTCATATAGTATGCTCATAGGTTATTACTGCGCTAATTAGAAAAAGAAAGTCCTGTTGAAGAATATAGTATCAGATACAATTATATTTTTAAATTTGTCAAGTTTGTAATCAACAATTTTATGAACACTGGTTATATTTAAATCTAAAGACCCTTCCCTTTCTTTTAATAAACAAAATATTATTGACTTTTCATCTTCACTTATACTTATTATATTGGGGTTGCATGTTACATTTGTTATCAATTTTTTAACAAATATACTGCTACTTATAAATGATAATATCACCTTTACTCTTATCTCATAATCAGTGCAGCTTGTAATGCTTTTTACTTTGAAATCCATTTCTGTCTGATCCAATTTTAATATGATGTCTGAGACATTATTTAACATTATTTGTAAATCTATTATTTGCCCTTGGCTTAAAAATATTTTATTGCTTTCAACTTGGACAGGCAGTATTTCAAAATTTTTGTTTTGGTCAAACCTATCTGGATAATATTGTTGAATTTGCATAGATTCAAATTTTCCGAAATCACATGTTATTACTCTTATGTTCTTCACATAATTTATTGTTTCTACTCTTTGTATGCTTCCAAATAATTCATTATTAAAATTATTTTGACAGTTCATTTCTCTAGTGAATGCTTTTCCATTTGAAATAACTATCATTTTTTTTATCAAATTTTGGTTTTCTATTCAATACACTGAAGCTGAAAGATTCACTAAAATTTGACAATGAATTTATTTCCAATTCTTTACCTACACCATTCATGTAGGCTGTTTATTTAAATATTATTATATTGAAAGCTATTTCGAACACTTCTAAGCATTCAGATTCTATGAATTGATTTTGACAAGCCATGCAGATTGCTCCTTCATTTATTATTAGACAATTTGAGCAAGCATTTTCTGGCTTACAAAATATTTTAGAATTTTCTAAGGTCAATGTTTTTATGCAGTCATTACAACTGCTTTTACAGCTGCCTTTAACTTCTTCCTTTATGAATGATTTACAAGTTGTGTAATGAAATTTTATGTCATAATTTTCTACCAATTCCGTGATTCTGAACGTTATTTCTCTTTGCCTATTGAATAAGAATTTTATAGTATTATCATTTACTAGGTTAATTCTTATATTAAGTTTTATATCTCTTACAACTCCTTTGACATTAGGGGCTTTAAAAACATCTTCAACACTAAATTGCGCAGGTTGTGTAACTAGTTTAGAATCATCTATTACTTCTACTTTTTTTCCATTTATTATAGCTTCTGTTAGAGTAGTATTTAATATTGTTATTATAATTATCAATGGTACGACTCAAATTGCAATCTATGAACTTATTTTGTATATAATTAAGTTGCTATTTCTTATTACAAAAGATCCAATCAGCATTCTATATCCAACTTCTTCTTTCTTATGTATTGAATTGAAATGTGATTCAATCCCTCCTGTATATATATTATTGCATATAAGGCATCTTCTTTCTGTACTTGCATAGCAAGAAATTATATATTTTGTCAGCAACATAATGACATCATATTCATTATTATAGTCCAGAATATTATTAATATTATGTAAACTATCCCTACAGTAATTGATCCTAATAGATAAAATATTATGCTGAATGTTACTATTACTGCTATTTTATTAGTATGATACTGATAAATGCAATATTTTTAACTTAGCCAATCTAATACGTAATTCCAAACTTTTCTGTCTAAGTTCTCATGGTAATATTCTACTAACTTATTATACGACCAGTTTTCGAGTAGAATAGTATTGTAAGAATATGTTTAAAGGACTTAGAATAAGACAACCTTTTCTCACACTCCTTAGCAAAGTTCGCAAGCACCAGCGCAGGACCTGCCTTTAAATTAATATCTCAGAAATTTTGTTTGAGCATCTTGAGGAAGGCGTAACTGGTAATATTATTTTCTAAAATTTTTATAACTTCCTCGCTTAGTCTTAACTCCTGTTTTCACAAATACGAGATAAGTTCAACTGTTTTATATTTCTTAATTTCTTCCGTTGGTATAACCAACTCATTTCTAATGATAAGTAAAGGCGGGAGTTTTAAGCATAGCATTTTTATAGTGTTGATGCATAAATTTGGGAGGGAAAAAATTTATTGAGTGATATAAAATGCATGACTATCACGTGTCTCTTTCAGCAATCAATAATTTATTCTTCACGTCATTATTTAACAAAATTATCCTTATATAAATTATACTATCAATAATTATTAGAATGATATTATTCATTATTCAGCACTTTGAGCTGAACTACCTACAAGGTAATGATGGTTGGGTTAGCATGAGGGAGTTTCGTATGATTGGCTGCTGAACATCGCCTCAATTTTAGTAAATCTTTCTGTGATTGGTGAAATTTGTTGCTGATCATCACCAAAATTATAAAATCCTGTGATTTATTTTTTTACAAAATTCAACGTGAACTTTTAAAAAATGCCTCTATTACCAAATCATAGACCTTATGCAATACATAATTATAATAAAAATGAAGTCAAATTTCACAGTTTTACTAAACTTGCATATGAAAAGTCTAAAACAAAAGGAACATTTAATATATTTAATTATTTAAAAGTTGGTGACCAACTTTGTCAAATGCATTATAACAATATTATCGAACCAAACTGAAATAAATATACCACTTTACCTTTGAACAACTTACCAGTTCCTGATACAAATATAAACCCTAATTTTCTTGAGATAAATGGTAATCAAAATAATAAAGGTAATTGTAATATAATTTATTTAGAATTTCTTTATATATCGTAATAGTATTTGCCAGATGTATTAATTTAATTAATTTAATTAATTTTATTAGATTTTAACTTTAAAGAACAATTAAAGCTTTTAATTAAAGTTCTCTATGATATACAAAAAAAGCAAAGTCTTCCTTTAGAATTAGATTCAGATAGTTTTTGTGCTTTGATTAAAAATCAAGAACCACGTTTACAAGGATTTTTTAAAAAATTTGTAGATGTATTGAATTCTAAAAGAAGATCAAAAAAAACATTGGATAATAGAAAGAAGTCTGCTGTTGGATTTTGTTATCTTCTTACTGGATTGGGTAATAAATTTGTTAATAATTTAAAACTTGAAATTGGATTTTTTTTAAAAGCATGTGGAACTTCAAGAGAAGGCATTGAAACTTTATCATCAATAGGTCTTACCATATGTGCTAAAACAGTTAATAAATTCAAGCAAGAAATATTAATAAACCATCCCAAAAAAATTAATGAATATTTTATAATTTATGTAAGTTATTCAAAAAGAATTGCGAAATGAAACAAAATATATATTTTTTATTTATTTTATTTTATATTATTAAAATTTGTTAGAATATTATGTAATATTATTTAATTTTATTAATAAATTATAATTTTTAATATAAAAAAAGAATAACTTTGAAAATTAATACTAATTAAAAGTTTATTTTATATAATATATAAAATACTGTATATAGAATAATAATCTTTATATATTTAACATTGATAATTATCATGTCATTCATTCTATGCATCGACCTATTACTTCAATCACCACTAATGATAAACATTTGTATCTTGTCTTTTGAAATTAGTTGACAATTGTACACCAATTCCAACTATTTATCAAAATATATCAATCCAAAATCCAAAAAATATTGATGCTGATAATCTTTGTTGGTATTTATAAATATATTATAGTGGAATTTTTGATACAAGCTATAATATTAGAAAAAATCAGTAGATTATACAAAAATCAATAAATCAAAATTAATTTAATTATATTGATCAACTTACTATTTATATATATAATGATGCAATTCAAAAAAGAAAAGAGGAACGATCTATGAAAGGAGTTCATATGATATCTTTACAAAATATGAATTTACATTTACTTGCAGATTATCTCAAAGCCATGCAAAACATTGCTAATATTCCTTCATTAAAAAAATATCTTTTATTAAATGTTGCACTAATTGTAGCAGATTAGTCTGGACAACTTTTCATATATATAGCAATTACACATTTTTATCTACAAGACAATCAATCTTCTATCCTTTCATATGTATAAAGCTTTGTTCCAATTCTTAGACCACTTCATGTATCTTTAAATTTTTGCGAAAAAGCTATTATGTTACATCATGACTTCTTTCAAAATCTTTTCCACTTTGTGTTTAGTTCAAAAAAAACTTTTGCAAAAAAACCTAAACCATAGAGAATAAATTTAATATTAGAATTGACAAGTGAAGCATAGAAACAAATATCAAAAATTATTATGCAAAAATTTATGTATACATGTAAAGATATAGAATATAGAACATAATTCCTGCTACACTTGATATTTATGTCTTATTATTTCATTCTGGATCATATTGAAACAATATTTCACCTTTTAGACATTTGCACTAAAATGGAAAAGAAAAAATTATAATAAGACACCATTAGCATTTTTGTCTGATTATTTTTATTGGAAAGATAATCAATATCTAATGGTAGAAGCAATAAAATTATACTTTGTAAATTTTAATAATTATTTTGTTGAAACTCTGCATAGCAAAATAAGAGCAAATACAAATACACATGATAGTGTAGAGAGTATTATTACACAGGCATGTATTATAGGTAAGAGAGAATATTTGATTAATTAAATAGAATAAATAATAATTTTTTTTTTTTTAGATAATAATAA